TGTGCGAGCGTTGTGACGGTTATTTTTGCGGCAACAACGCGTTCGTGCACGTATATACAAGCTCACAGCCGGGAGATTGGTGGGGGTGGCGGGCAGCCAATTTCAGCAACACGTAGCATCGGCTGTGTGTACGGGCGCGGACTTTTTTTCGAAGTTTCACCAGAACACATAACTGAAACGTAGCGATACGCAGGGATTCACAGTTTCGAAGTAGGGATTCACAGTTTCGAAGTTTCATCAGAACAAAACACTGAAACGTGGCGATACGCAGGGATTCACAGTTTCGAAGTTTCATCAGAACCAAATACTGAAACGTAGCGATACGCAGGGATTCGCAGCCTGTGTCATGTGTACGTTGTCATCGGCGTGTACACGAAGCGGCCGCTCTTTCGAGTCCAAACCTGGACTTCGGGGTGGGGGAGGGGGTGCATGAAGGGTCACGACCTGTCAATACGCGGCTCTGGTTAGTATGATGAGTATGTCGGGTGTGTTCGAAGTTTCATCAAAGCAATTTTAAACTGAAACTTCCGGTGCGCAGGGGCGTGATTGGATACATCTTTTTTCGCGTCTTTAAACACGAAGTTTGCTGTGTCGGTGTATGAGGTTTCAACTTAGCAAGGACCGAAGAAACGTCATGTGTGGGACCTCGGGGGCGAGCACCACGAACCGTTCTACTCTCTAATCTCTCTACATCACGAATAAACCTAGCGTTCACAGGCATCCACGCCCAGTCTGAAGGCGTGAAAGACGCACGTTGAGATCCCTCATTAGACGTGCTCAAATTTGGGATCCGTGTAGGCGCTACATACGTGCGCATCTCGGCCTCGCGCCGGCACAACAATGAAGCCGGAAAAAAATAAAAAAGTGTTTCAAGAAAATATCTGAATCTACAAACCATCCCGGAGAAAAAAAGTAGACCCCACCCAAACGGTGAGGCACCTACAATTGACCGCGTATCCGGACTAGCCAGCTTACCATAAGGAGCTCGGAAAGCCACACAAGAACACATTTGCATAGTCGTGCGCCCTCAAGCTTGACTCCCGAAGTCGAACATAAACTCTGCGCACGAACAACTTCAAAAGGAATGATTGTGAGAGCTAACTTGGCTCCGGCCAAATAAAGTTACATGTCCTACACGGCCGACGACGGACGGGTGATCCCTCCAAGCGCCAACTGAAACACACGACGAAAAAAACATCGAATCAGATACGCCCGCCAGGGATGTTTCCCCGCACGACAAAGCGGGCTTCTCGCGCTAAATTTTCTAAACAAGTTGTCACCGTAGACCTCCCCGCGGAGAAAGCCTAACCCTGGGGATGCTGTGCCGTAGCCCCACCACCTTCAGGCCCCGGTGTCTCGCTGTTGAGCGAGAAGCCCGGCAAGGCGGGTACGTCCGAGGTAACCTCTGGAGCGGAGGGACCCGCTAGGTCGTCGATGCCGCCTGAGACGAAATCAGCGGTGAACTGGCCGACGGGCATCTTGCGCATAGCCCGAATCTTCAGCTTGATGGCCTTAGCTTCGTGGCTTTCGCAGTATTGTAGATCGCCCTCAAGGTCTTCGATGGCCTGCTTCTTACGCTTGCGGCAGGCCTCCTCTTCCTGCAGCGCGCGCTGAGCGGTAGTGTTGTCGGCTACTCGCTTCACCGCATCGCGCATCTCCTTCGCCACTTCCAGTTGCTCCGTGTTCTGCCGCAGAAACTGAGCCCTCGCTGCATCACGGGACTGCCGCAGCTCTACCTCCTGTGTAGCCTTCTTCACCTTTGCTCGGCTCTGCGCTTCCCCGGCCCCCACAAACTGCCTCACAGCGCCTGCGTGCAACGGATTCTCCGTCAAGGATCCCTCGCCGGAGGATCCCTCGCCGCTGCCCCCACCTTCGCTGGCGGGACCTTTGGCCTTGCCCTTGCCCCCCTTCCTTTTCTTGCCGCGAGACGGAGGCCCGGAGCTCGCTGCGCACGTGTTGAGCTCCGTGTCTTCGTGTTCACCAGCCGGCCTCCCGAAAAAGCAGAACGTTAGGGTGAGCGGGTGCGTCCAGTTCGCGGGCCTCGGCCCGTATCCCAAGTTGCCGTCCCCACTTGAGCTGACCGCGTCATCGGAAGCGGCTTGTTTCGCGTTGATGGCCCCCTGTCGGGCGAGCCATCGCGGGTAGTCCGGCGAACCTTCCTCTGGCTCGGGCCCCAAAGAATCGTCGCTCCCCGTCCCCGCCTCTCCACCGCTCCCCGCCTCCACCGCACCACTCCCCGCCCCCACCGCACCACCGCCTCCCGCCTCTGATGAACCATCCTTCGTGTCCTCCACTTCCGCGGGCGACGTCTCCCCCGGTGCAGGCTCGCCGGCGGCACCCTCCTGCGTGCCGTCGGCGCCCTCTCCCTCCAAGCCTCCTCCGCAAGGTAGCTCCGGCTCTCCGTCCTCCTCCTTGACGGTAGCAGGGCTTGATTGCGAGGAGCGGGCCGGCAGGTAATCGCGCTCTTCGTCGAGGTCGACAACATCTTTAGGTTTCCCTAAATTCTTGCAGCGGACGATCCACAACTCGTCTAAGAGTGCAGAGAGCTGGTCGTTGTACTGCTGCCCGGACTTGAGCTGTCCCGCTGGTTGTCCAGGTTCGAGCCTAATTTCCAAGGGGTGCAAGAATGGTGCGCACGAGAAGAGAAGGAAAAGGAATGTGCGGATTACGGGGGAGACGTCACGGGGCAAGCAAGCACTTGTTCGGCATCACGCAAGAAGTCCCACGCTCTCCATGTCGAAGAAAAACATGCGGTCACTTTTGCGGGCAAGGTTCGCGTCTCTGTCTGCTTCACGTGACATTGGGCGTGAACAGCGCCGTACTGCTGTATGCGTGGTGCACCGCTTAACACCTGGGAGAAATAACACGCGGGCAAACAATTACCAGTACAGGGTACGTATGGCGCATTCAATCCCCAACGATAAAATAATTTTAAAACACAAACTTTGCTCCTGAAAAATACGTGATTCGTGGGGCCTTCGCACTATCTTAAAACTCACCCATCGAAAGCTGGGTTCACATCACGCCTGATGAGCAGGTAGTCCTCCATGTGCCTAGCCCACACCTTGGAGTCGTCCTTGTAGTACTTCGGCTCGCCTGCACACCGGGTTGGGGGCGAGGGGAGGAAACTTCGTGTGTGAGACTCGAGTTTCCAGCTGTTTACGGGATAAAATGCGCCGTCTGAACACAACAACAGCAGTGCCATGCTTTACCATCTCGACCCGCTGCTGTTTAGATTTCAAACGAGTACGTTCATGCGCGTTCTTTCTTTATCTTTGGTGCTGCGCGGGGAGATTATCACAAAACACATCCAGGCTAAGGTTAACCCCAACAGGCGCTGCACACTGCTGTTGCAGCACATGCGTAACGTTCAACCGATCAGCAGAGACAACAGACACGTGCACGAAAGAGACATGTACCGGGTTCACGATGAAAGAGAGAGGAGCGAGCGTGTGACGTTCAACCGAACAGCAGGTACAACAGACACGTGCACGAAAGCGACATGTACCGGGTTCAAGATGAAAGAGAGAGGAGCGAGCGCGCGGTGTGGGGGGTGACAAGCCTTGCGTCCTTTTTCCTTCGACCCACATTAACGGAGCATGGACCCAGGCTGCTGTAGTAGTACCATGGCTTACCTCTTCCCCTCCCGTTCACGTTGCTGCAGCCCAACAGCTCCTCTGTCAACCACCGAGGCAGCTGTACAGGAGAGCCTTCGAGCTCCCGCAGCCAAGCCAAAAAACCGGGAACCACGATTGTCTTGTAAGCGTGGGTCGCAGCTTTCTGTTTACTCTTCTTGTTTGTCAAGCCAGCGTTCCGCTTCACTCCCTGGCAAGCGTAGGTGGCGCAAACGCTCTGCAGCTGCAACATTATCTGCTTCTTCGTCATGCCGCCCTCGATGCAGTCGCCAAAGTGTGCGACAGCGGCCTTCGCCAATGGGTTGTAATTCAGCAAGAGCGCCTCAGGCTGCTCAGATGCACCTCCATCGGGCATGTTGTGCAATGGTTGTGTGGTCTGCCGCGTGAGGTCTGCTGCTGTGCGCGTGTATGTCGTGCTGGCACTTTTTACCCGCGCGTGCGCGCGCGCTGCATTTCAAAAATACATGACAGTCCAGCAAAAAATCCGCTGACTAAAATCCGGTTCCTGTAAGAAGGGTCGTACGTTTTTCCCAGCCGGATTATTGTCCGGCCGAAAAAATCGATTTTTCAGATCAAGAATCCGGTTCTGTAAGAAACAGCCTTAAGAGAAAGTACGGATTTAAGAGAGAGGAATTGGCTTGTACCAAGCAAAATCGATTTAAGAGAAATTTCCTATTGCAGCTGGGATTTTTATCTTAAATCGAACAATATGGAAACCACGTGGACACACACACACATCACACACCCACACAGCTGCAGACACCGTGCCCTGCGCGGCGGGCAGTCGCTGCACGGCTGTCCCCGATCACACGCCAGGCCCGCCGGCGTTCACAAATCACCAATATAGAGGAGTCTGCGGGCAGTACCTCCATGGCACCTGTGGTGTGGTGGACCCTCAGGGGTAGAGTTGGTTTCTTGGGTTTGTGTTATTTGTACGGCGAGTGATGTTTTGATATTGTGAAGCTCTTTTTTTTTCGTTGACTTGTGTTTTTGTCGGGGGTTTAAATCGATGGGATGAGAGGTATGAGGGTGTTATGTTGAGGGTACGGTGGGAGGAAGGGGTGCATTGTGTAAACGGGTGCGTCGTTCTTGAGTGCTGGTGCATTCGTTGCCTCGTGTTGTCCTTCTAGAAGAGGTGCGACTATGAAACACAGCTATAAAACAACTCAACCAAAAACCTTTTACGTGTCCACGTGCAAAATGTGCATCGCATCACACAACGATGATTTATTTTCCGAACGCAGATCCACCAAAAGCGTACCACGTACAGCAGTACTTGGGTCCACGTGCTTGCCAACCAAGAGAATGAGCGGTGTTTGGAGGTAGCCCGACGTGGTAACGCTAGCTGCGCAAGTGACATGCATGATACGCTCTCTTCATGACCTATTTTGGCATTCGAGTGTAGTCAGTGCGCGAGAGTCCCTGTTTCACGACCTTTAGTTTTGTCTACGATATAAGAGAATATTCTCATATAGTGAGATACTGTTTAAGAGAATTCTCTCTTATACCGTAGCCAACACGATATAACAGAAAGCCGGATTTAAGAGAGTGAAATTGGCTTGTACCGACCCTCTCTTAAACCGTAGCCGCTACTGTATCTATATATAAATAGGTCGTCTTTCTCTCTGTCTCTCTGTCTCTCTGTCTCTCTGTCTCTCTGTCTCTCTGTCTCTCTGTCTCTCTGTCTCTCTGTGTGTCTCTCTCTCTCTCTCTCTCTCTCTCTCTNCCTCTCTCCTTCTCTGGTCTCAAATGGCTAGCGAGCGACCTTCAGGGTATGAAAATCATTAGAACGTTTCCACTCTCCCTCGACCTCCTTGTGCTTCCCCTCCTTACTGCCTCTTCTTGTGCCTACAGGCGTGACGGCGAGCAACCTTCCCAAGGTCATCGTGGTGCACGAGTGCTTGAGCGTGGCCTTCCTGGCGCTTACCTGGGCTGTCTGCTATCAGATACAGCCCACGCAGGCAAGTCACCCAAGAGAGGCCGAGAGAGACGGACGGAGATAGACAGACAGACAGACAGTCAGACAGACAGACAAGACAGACAAGACAGACAGACAGGCAGTCAGTCAGACAGACAGACAGACAGACAGGCAAACAGACAGACAGACAGACGGACAGATGAGACTAGAAAGAAATATGCTGCACCGGTAGCACCTTCGAAACCATGCATGGCGTCCCCAATCATCGTTTCTCCTAGCTATATGAGCACACCTTAGCGAGGAAGTATTTTTTCTCTGAGCGATTGTTTCTACCTTCCCGTGACTCACCCGTGCCCCCCGTCCCCCCTCTCCCGTCGCTCATGGTAAAAGTGCTCATCGATAAAATGTGTCCATGGCACGGCGCAACGTTTAGCTGAGGTACGTGTGCCCAATTGTGAGAGGACAGTTCACAGATCAGGCAACGGGAACTACCTCTAAGAAATACGTGCCCTTCCCCCCTTATCCACCTTTGTTCACACTCGATCAACGCAGGGCCCGGTGTTCGCGCCCATCAACAAAACAATCCAAAACAGCAACAACGCCTTCATCGTCCGGAGTCGCCAGTCCTTCGAGGCCCTCATCTCCAAGTCGGAGAAGCGGCTTAGCCAAGATTGGTGAGAGACACAAGCTTGATTATTGGTACAGCAGGCGTTGTTGCTATTATACTGCCGTTTCGTGTACTGTTTGTGGGAACAATCGTGCTTCAACGTTTGTATTTGCACTTCCGTTGTTCTCTTCACGTCCGCTTGTTTGCTGTCCGTATGCGTCACTTTTGCGGGCCTTGTCTCTTGTTTGTCGACCTTGTTTTAATCTCTACCTTACAACCAGGCTCAACAAGAGAGGGATCGACTCCGGGAGAATGGCGATCTCCCTAGCGGAGTCGACCCTGTTCCGAAAGCTCGCCAAGCCGGTCACCATCCCGGGAAAGCTCTGGCTCACGCTCAAGCTCTCGCAAACATTCCTGGTTGGCGACGACCGCGACAACGGCAATGAAAGCACCAACAGGGTTACCAGAAGGCCGTTGGTAAAAGAAGCATCTTCGGGGACCGGAGGATGGGGGTGGCTGAGGAAGGGGAGGCGATCTGGAAAGCGAAGGAAAGCGATTTGCCCCCCCGGGAGGAGGGGGGGTGGGAGGACGCCTGGCTGCTTTGTTGCCTTACCGCAGGCCGCTTCTGACCCGTTGTTGTTGCGATCCTCGAAGGAGATTTGTTGGTAGAAGCTAACGCTGGGGCACACGCCGAGAGGCCCCAAAGCTTGGCAGGGCCCAGGCTAGTGATGGCGTGCCCTTATTCGGTCCTTTGTGATACTCCCACAGCTTCCCTTGAAGCAGCAGTGGTGGAGATGGTATGTCGTATCGCGGTGCAGTGACCGACAAGAAATCTCAACGTTATTTCGGGACCCGCGCTATGGGGAGAGGGTCCCTGAAAGAAGTTAGAAGCAGGCTAGGTTGCTGTGCCAAATATTTTTTTCCGCGGTACATGGGGACCACGTTATTCGAGACCGCGATATATTGGGACCGCGATGTGTCGGCATCACTGCTGTAGTCGGTCTTGTTTGTTGCCGTCTTTTCCTACCCCGCTTTGCGCAATCAACGGGGTCGTCTGGAGACTTTTTTGTGCTTTTGCGTAGAGACAGCTTGTCCGTTTGCCATAGGAGACAACGTCGGTTGCTAACAGATGACGGACAAGATCACACGAGTTAACGTGTCCGATTATGCTGTCTCTGTTCACACACAAGGACTGTGTGTGTGCGAGGGTGTGTTTTTTGTCGCAGTTTCAGCACTAACAGAATGCCGTTCGATTTTTTGCGTGGGTGCTAACCCACTGTTGTCGCCTTGATTTCTTTTTACACATATTTCGAGTATGTTTTGGAGGCCCCAGTCGGGATCACAGAGAAAGGTTGAACTACACACCAGGGTTGCTGCCACCTTTTTCATTGCGTGCCTGCCGTTGTACATCCGTTGTACATGAATTGACAAGGATTCGCCTTTCCATTCCCGCTTTAAGTGGCTGAGATGATCTGACAGGGTTTCCTCCTCCTCGAGAATAGCTCTTCCAAAATAGTACGTGCTTACAATCGCGAAGGACAGAGCAGTGGGTGGTGGCGACGAGAACGACACTCCTCGAAAGTGTCGGGTCTTGCGACCCCGCGGCATACATAGAGTTTTGCACCAGTAATATTCATTTAGCCATTTTCGTAGATATCCACCGCTGACTAATCTTCGGTAGGCTATGTTGCCTTCATTTCATCTACTACAGAGTCCAGCGAATGCACCATTTTCATTCAGAAGCTTGAGATGGAATGTACTTTTGAATGAATACATGCGAAGAGGGAATGAATGCACACGTCAGGTGGTAACTGATAGTAAAGGCTTACCCATTAGACTAATCAGTCAGCAGGCTTACTCATTAGACTACTCAGTCAGCGCTGACTGAGTAGTCTAATGGGTAAGCCTTTACTATCAAAAGATACACTCTCGGCTCGTAGAATCCCGGGCTGTGAGTAGAGATCTCCGGCGACGGACCCCTCGCCAGGCGCTGCCGAGAACAGAACTATGGTGCTTTTTCGTAGAGTGATCAGCCCGGGATTTGAACCTGTGCGTGTATCCTTCGATTGGTGAAGGCTTACCCATTAGATTACTCAGTCAGTCCGACTGGGTAGTCTAATGGGTAAGACTACCAAAGGATACATCACGCACAGGTTCGAATCCCGGGCTGATCACCTCACGAAAAGCACCATAGTTCTTTTCCAGCAGCGCCTGGCGAGGGGTCCGTCGCCGGAGATCTCTACTCACAGCCCGGGATTCTACGAGCCGAGAGTGTATCTTTTGTTAGTAAAGGCTTACCCATTAGACTACTCAGTCAGCGCTGACTGAGTAGTCTAATGGGTAAGCCTTTATGTATCAGTAACTGCAACAAACCATCCCTCTCTGCCACCAAATCTGCGCTACATTCGTTCACTTTCACGTCCAGTAGGTGTTGCCCAGTACAGTGATTGTTGGCGGCGATATGACTGTTAAGAAGAACGATGACCACTTCATAGACCACTACATGTTCACAGGAATTGCAGTCCTGGGGGGAAGAGTTCGTGGTTTGGAAGAACGCTTCACGGACTCAGGCAGTAACTATTGCTGAGAAGCATAATTACCGCCACCACTGTATAGTCGGCAATAACAGTGACGAGTGAAGATGCCGTCACGTAAGGAGCAGGCGTGGTGGGGGTACGCTCGGATACGTTTGCAAGGAGGTCCGGTGGACGCGTTCGGATGGAAGGGTTCGGTTACGTGTTTTGGTTGTTAGGGATTTGGGGGGTGATTTCACTGAACGGATAGTTCGCGTCAGTCTGAGGCAGTTGTGCGATATGGGAGTGAGTATTCCCGACTACCGTACTGATATACGTGAGCGGGGCCACTCACAAGTAACTTTTAATAGACACCTTGAACACATCGATCATTGGCTCAGCTGCTGTGCATTGTTTTTTCCTGTCAAGACAAGGGAACTATTGCAATGCCGTATTTTTTGTAGGCATCTGGGTGTTCTGGCGCGGGGGTGAATGTACGGCAGTTGCAGCGTGTGAAGACGAAAAAACGACATTGCTATTGTAGGGAGTGTCAGAGGGGTCTAGGACAAGCGGGTGCGGTGTAACGTAACAGCAACAACTGAGTTCAAGAGAAACTGCCCCCGCGAGGTAGGCGGCACTGGTCCTGTGAAAATATGATTGGGACTTCACATGTTCACCGGCTGGGACGTGGGGACGTCTCATGGGACACATTGGACTTCTCGTGGGACGCGTGGGACGGCCCAGGACACGTTGATGCGACGCCTGGAACGTCTCATGACGACAAACACACCTGCGGCGTCCGACACCATCGGCCACACGAACGGACACCCAGATAGGGCGGTGGAGCTACGGCAGTACCAGCGTGCCTTCTCACGCACGGCGACGCATGATACTGTTATGGTCGTTTCATGAGCATTCCATACGTGTCCCGTGCGCCGTCCCACGCAATCTGCGGCGCCCCATAGGTCCCAAGAGACGTCCAACGAGTCCATGAGACGTGTTGGATGGCTTGAACGCAAGATGGTCGTTTCACGGGACAATCTCAGTATGAACTGGCCGGCAACAATCAACTGTCTGCCGGAAAGTGGCAGCGGGGTATGCATGCTACGTTATTTTCGTTTAACCTACTGTACCGCCCCTTTGGCATGCCATATCTTTATTGCCTCCATGAAACTGACTACGGGCTGAAGTAGACTACTACTATGGGTGAACCAGCGCGAGTTGTTGCTATTGGTATTGCCCTTATTTTTGTGTCGTCGTCTTCATATCAAGAACCGACCTGACATCTATCCCGAACTTCGCCTTGAACCAACTACCGTTCAAGCCAAAGCAAGATTTCCGTGGGTAGGAGGCATTCCATTGTGAATTGTCAGACGCAAAACAACAACTTATCATGAAGAAAGTCGCCGTCGCACCGGTGAATATATTGGTGTCCCCGCAGCCGAAAACGCGAACACCAGAGACTCACAAAAAAACAGCGCTCCCGCAAAACGACTAGCGCCTGAAACTTTTGCATGTCTGCAAGAACAACATTTCCTGCACGGTTACAGCAAGGGACTCTTTGCAGCCCGATCAATCAATTCGGAAGCCTATTCATTCTAACGGACGATCATGCCAATGCGCACCCCTTTGCCAAACCGGGGAAGTATCATCTCAGTTTATTTGCGCCGGGCAGAGGAAATCCCACTCCACGCCCTGGAGGGGCAAGAAAACGCGATACGCATCAAATCAACACACAGGCATAGGACACATGGCCGAAACGGTTTAACCATGTGTGTTTGCAAGAAGTTGCTTCTGAAAAGCATTTCCTGCGTTCGAGGGTTTCCTGTGCTCGTGCATTGCCGGGGAGCAACCTGTCAGAGGCTCATCGCCAACCACGTAAACACCACCTCACCCATGCATAGGTTGTTGGGTGAGGGGGTCATCAAGCTCGGACGGCTCTCTCGTTCATGAACCAGCACTATCACTAGCGCCAGCAAGGAAAACCTACAAAACGAACATCAATCTGTGCAACTGCTCCCAACGGTGCGGCATTCACTACGAAGTACGACGCAAAACGAGAAGAAAAAAAACCGCCGCACATAGCCTCATTTGTGCGGTGCTTCGGAAAGGGTGGCTAGGGAGACTTCTTCCAATCGGCGCTGAAGCGGGATGCTATCATCCGCGTCGAAGCCGGTGCTGTTGACCTGATTGATCACGTTTCGTGCAGATCGCGCCCAGAACGACAGACGAGCGCGCTCGATTAAATGCGTGTGCGGGACCCTACTCTCATGTAGACATAGATCGGTGTCAAGAAGAAAATACCCAAAGTAAATTCCGTGGCGGTTGTATTGCCTAAAGGATTTGCAAACTGTTCAATTACAAACATTCCTCTGGCTTGCCAGCTGGTTGACTTAGCTATTCGTTGGAAACCCTTCCACGGTTTAGAATACACGCCTCGGTGATCGGTTTGGACATGCTTCTCACATTTGAGGGAGCGTTGGCTATTTCTCCAGCGGCAGGATGCCTCTGACAGATAGGGGATTGCACAAGGTATATGATGCGTGCGGTCATTCAAGCCGAAGAGTGGGGGCTGTGTAACCTATCGACCCGTCTGGCTTCACCCGACGGGTTTAAACGTCGAGGGGCAACACTCGAAGCCACCTTGCTTGCGCGACCTGATGATGCAACGGTTGCGATACTACATACATTGGAAGAGGGCGTGGTATCTTCGTATCAGCCGTACCTACGGTATCTGGGAGATACCAGTACAAAAAACATACAGCGTACGTGTACCTCGATTCTCTCGCGCATCCGGTCAAGGGTTTCCTTGAGCATGTCGCCGAATTCTTGTGCCATGTCTTCCATTTTCACCTTCATCTGAATAGCAGGCAGACCACAAGAGGAGCGAAGCAACGAACACATACATGCCGGGCACCGCCGGGCACATCGAACCAACCAAAACGTCGGTGACGAGGGTTTCACAGCTGGTTTTGGTTACTCCAGGGAATATTCGACAATGTCGTAAACGTGCGGCCGAACGCGCACGTGGGAGATCAAATGTAAACCAGAACGACTTCTCTACACCCCAAGAGGGAGCGAATCCGACAGTCAAGCGCAACGAAAGGTCTTGACGAGAACCACCTATTGAAACATTGCCAACTTCTTGGTTGGAGAACCATCGAGCTACACCAATCGCACGCACGCCTGTGCGTTTCTCCGCGAAGTAACGGTAGTCTAGTCCTTCAGACACGAGATTATTCTGCAGGTCACAATATGAAAGACGCTTTGCCTACCTGGGAGATTTCCTTATCCTTGGCGGCTATGATAGAGTCCTTCTCCTTCACGGCTTGCTCAAGCTCGAGCCGTGATCGCTCTAACTCGTCCTGTAGGGCCTGGCATGACGGTCGCAACAACATCAGAGAGAGCGTCAGGCATGTGCCCTCCCCCAGGGGATAAGCTGAGGCTGAGGAAACGCGTGGTTCGGAAGGTCGCTAAATTGAGTTTTTCCTTGATGAAACTGTATCGAAAAAACTCCACTGATCACCTTCAGGTGCCCACTGCCACCACCGTGCCGTAGAGAGCTGGCAGACACCGAATACCAACGCAAATCTGTAGGTGTTCTCTACATTGACCTTGAATATTTTTGGGGGAGGGGGGCTCCGCTAGCATTGTACGTGATACGCGATTGTGTTTTTTTCTTGGTCACCGCTTCGGCAGATATGCCGCGAAGGGGATGCGCGAACCACGGTTGAAAGGGATGGGCTGAGGCCTGACGTGTGCATGTGCCGCCTCACGAAACGTTGTTGGTTCGGTGGCCAGGGGTCCGTTCCGTTGGGATCTACCTCATACCGCTGTCAATGGTACCCGTTCCTCGGAGAGACTATCACCTGTATTGTGCCTTCTAGCTGGTTGATGCGGTTCAGAAGCTCCTCCTGCATTCCCTTATACTGGCGTGTCATGTCCCGCGTGATGTCGAGGGTCCCTGATTCCAGAGGAGCATGAATGTCGACCACTCATTGTCATCGTGGGAAGCTCGCAGTATACGGGTGATGCATCGATGTTCATCGGAAGGTAGCAGTTACCATACACTACTTACCTATGAGTTGACCTTCCGTTGCCACCCTAGCTGCCTGACAGACGGTTGGCACCATTCGTCCGTAACCGACATTCAGTTTCTGGATATCAATGTTGTTCACGGCCCGCCAGGTGGGGAATTATCACCCAAACTTCTTGCGCAAGCGAATTTTCTTCGTTAGACCTCCACACGCGATACCTCGGTCGATAGCGTGTGGTAGTAACGTGCTCGAATAGTGGTCCGCGAGGGACTTGTTGTGTTTGTTTTTCTTACCGATCTGTTCGTTCTTGACTTTGCGTTGCATTTCTTGGATTTGCTCGACCATTTCCCGCTTCTGCTCCAGCGCCCTGCTTGTTTCATCAGTTCTGCCGGCTACGATCGTGTGGAGACAGTTGGGGAAGTGGAGTAGAAGGGCGGTCGATATCGATACTTCCCCCTCTCAAAACGTATCTCCCACCGTAGGACATGCAATCATCACCGTAAGCAGGTAGTAGGTGTTACGATGGGGCTCCGGGAGGCACCATTTGAAGGAACATTCTGCTGCATCATTTTAGTTGTAGACTCACCAAATTGTGTACTACACTCACGGGAAGGAACCAAGTGACCGTCCCGCAGTGCAAGTCGTGAGTCAAACGTGGGGACAATCCTGTCAGGAAGAGACATGTATTGAACAACTTGCAGTAAACAATGTCTGCTGACACACATCAATGATGCGTGCCTTGATCCCATACAGGACAGAGCAGAACGCGAAGGAGGACTACGGTGGTGGTGATTAATCAGCGCCATGATCTAGAGCGACTTTATTAACCCTGGGTGGTCGATATCAGGAATGCCAATCCCGACGACAGTTCGCCGGAAGGACTCGTTCCTTAGAACAGAATCTCTTACGGAAGTCTCGAAAAGAGAACGGGTGGAACTGAAAGCGCACATCACAGCAGGCATCCCTCCATGTGAACCCGATCGCTGACCCTCGGAAACGGTCAAGCTGTCGTCTACAGTACATACTACTGTAGTCTAAGGCATCCAGGTGTGTTGGGATAGTTACGAGAAGAGCAGGTGGTGTGTGGAGACCAACGAGATGGTCGCCGTTCCTCACCGAGTTGTATCTGCAACGACTGTAAGGCCGCCTGGAACATGTTGGCCTTGTCGGCGTCCGAAAGCGGTGCTCCATCTTCTGCGGCTTCCCCTGTGGCACAGCGCATAGTTTGAGGGTGAAACGCACGGAATAAGACAACCGTGCGAAGATGCACGCGGCCAACTGCAGACTAAATTGCTACGTGTACCGCTGGCGAGGGTCCACGATAGGTGTATGAGGGTGCTACGGGGAAGGCACGCCTGGATGCAAAGAATGATGCTTGTTTCCACACCTGCGCGGCTAATAAGGAACGGGCGAAGGAGCTGCTGAACTAGAAATTCTTTTCCCGACGACCACGTTAAGGGCACGACGCCAACGGTTCTGGACGAACGTATTCCGTACATGTGGGAATACGGGCGAGTTGCTCCTATGTAGGTGGGAAGAGCACTAGGAAGCAAGCCATCGGCTATGGTCTGGCCTATAACAATCGTACACTGGTCAACACAGTTGAATTCATGTTGCTTAACGTTTCTCCTATTCACGGCAAGGTATCAACACTTGGGTCTGTCTACAGTATAGCGAAGATACCAAGCAAATAGAAGGGAGGCGATCGAAGTATACCACTCAAAATTTACAACGGCCAGAGAGTTGGGTAACCCATCCGGCTCGAACGAAGATGGAGTTAAGGTTGATGGCGTGCTCTGACCGCACGCTTGCTTGCAGAAGTCCATTTTCGGATATTGCCGGACGGGGGGATGGGTTCTGGAGTCCTAGAGACACAATCATCGACTTTTTCGCGAGGATAGTCATGTTCTACACACACGAGGCTTCTGTTGCTGGACGATATGAGGACCACCAATTTTTTTTAAAAGGAACGTCGTCCAGCTCGGTGGTGAGTTGAAGCTGTGGGGTTGTACCAAGTTGTCGCGTAAATCCCGTACAAACAGAAAACATGTGTACTGTAGTCTCGAACTATGCCAACAATTTCCAAGAGTGACCCACAGTCTTCCCCTTCGAGAGCAGAGCTCCAATATGGCGTAATATAGCAGAATTCCCCTACGGTGTAGGCTTTAAGTTGGTTAACGCAACAAGGGTTCAGCACCTGACAGACGTCGATCCCCCGACGACATGAAGATGGAAAAAGATCCAAGATTCATCAGCTGACACGAGCTGGTTGACGAACGAATTGTAGGCTACGCAATCCGAATCCCTCGCACCACGCCACTCACCTGCTTTCCCCTTTTTGTCTCCCTTCTTCTTCTTGGGTCCCATGTCTCACGCTTTGTCGCGATCCCAAAGGTGTCTGCTGTGTACCTGGTACCTTCGCAATTCAACCTGAGTTCGCCTGTCAAGCGGGTTCAATGGAGGCTCCGCAGAAAAGGATGTACATGTCATGTACATCACGGGACCCCGCAGAGAACGGGACGAAGAACGGTTCGAAGAACGGGACTGCCGCTGTCGTAATATCCACACAGCCCGTACAGCAGCCTGTTGTTCTGCCGCTCCTCTACAGGAGGCCGCACACACAGCGAGAGGAGCACGCGACACAGGGATGATTGTGCGAAACCTCCGTTCTTTCAGGTTGGCCCGCATCAAGGAGTATTTCGAAGACAGAGGTGCGTTCGCGGGGCGTTCAAGATATGTACCTTGACCTGCGTGTACGCTGTTGTCCTGTCCAAAACAGCAGCGTTCATGATCCCCTCAACAGGCACCGTGATCTTAAACTATAGGGTACGCTGCTGCTGTACAGATTCCGCTTGCACTGTTGTGCACACCATTACGATGTCGATGTAAGAGCACTCCATAAAGCATATATAGATACATGAGCAATCCCACCACATCGAACAGATACAGCTGCGGTGGGAATGCGGCGCAAAGTATCATATAGTCTATCTGTGTATCTGTGCTGCTGTACCGTTCAGGGGACACTCTGAGTCCGTCGCCGAGATGCTGCAGGACTACTGCTGTATGTGGTATGATCGTGGGGCCGTTCACGATTTTGTCGAAATATTTAAACCCCGCAGACAAAAGAAGAGACATGTACTTCTGTAGACGCAACAGCAACCCCCTCCTGTAGACCAGTCTAGTCCAGGCCATGCGGGCAGCTTGCGATGGGGTGGTGACCATAGACAGAGTCATAGAGGGTTGACGGGTGGTCACGCTTCGGCCAGTAGGACAGGTAGCCTTGTAGACCTCGAAATGATCAGTCGTCTAGCTGTGCCTCAACTACTCTATTTTCAGTGATCAGTGAACATGATCAATAATCAGTGAAAATGGTCAGTGGACTACGCATGATAGGCTACATAGTCTATGTAGAGCTGGTACAAAAAACATGTGTTCTTCCGTACTCTCTGTCCCCTCCCTCATGTCAGCCCTGCCGCTGCCGGCTCGCTCCATGTAGAGCTCCTGCTTTTTTCCATCATATTATATCACATAATCACACAAGGACACCAGCACACCCGCACACACCTACGCAGCGGCTTCCTAGCTCCGGGCGAGGGAATATGTGCTGGTGTGATGTGAATGTACACATGTCATTCATGTCTTGGGAAGTATATTGTTTGACTCTAGGCTGCTGCTTGTTGTGTAGTGTAGCAGCACGATGACTGCTGGATCTTAGGAATATACGACTGATTGTAAGCATATTGAGACCGACACCCTGGCTTCGGCAGGCTTAAAACCCCCCTTATGGAACCCTCCACTCTTTGATCAGTGGCTGACTACATGTAGCTTCGGGCGAAGGTATGTGTGGTGCTATGAGTGTCTCTATGAAATAATGTAGTAATTTTTTTTTGCCCGCGTCCCGAGACCTGCCCCCCCCCCCCCG